AGAATATTATACATTTTTCGAAAATGGGCGTAGCCACGCCCACTTATGGATACAAGTGTATATCTTGGTAACCGTTGCACCAATTTCTTCCAAACTTAGCACAGTTGTTAGCCTTGCTACAGCATATCTAATGGCCGAAAATTTTTCAAATCGGACAGTAACCACGCCTACCTCTCATATAACGGTAATTTGGAGAAATACGAAGTCTTTGATAAATCAATAAATATTAAAGCTAATTTACTCAAAATTGATGCTTGCAACAATTATTTACCAAGAAATATGTTTATGATAAAATTTTGAAAATGGGCGTGGCACCGCCCACTTATGGTCACATATATGTATCTCGGTAACTGTTCTACCAATTTGTATCAAACTCGGTATGATTATTGTGCTTGCCACATAGAAGCAAAACGTTGAAAAATTATTGGAATCAGATTCAAATTACGACCACTTTTCATATAACGGCAAATTTCAGAAATGCTTGAAACTTCAATATTTCGAAATTTAAGGACGCTAATTTACTTAAAATTGATACACACCGGCTTACAATGTAGCGGTAGCTTTCGTAAAGGTGAAAATCATATACTTAGTACCTGCGCCGGGTATTTAATGTTCGGCTCCGCCAGAACTTACACTTTCTTACTTGTTTCTCTTATATCGCTTCATGCAAACATACATTTAGTTATTGCTTGCTTTATTACTTTTATTATAGCTACTGTAAATTTGTTTTTTTTCACCACTGCAGTGCATTGTAATATGCTTTGCTGCTGTCGTGTCCCAAATAAATTTACCAGGGACCGCAAATAACGATTACGCCCTTGAAATTTCAACTCAAACAAGTAAGAAAGTCTAAGTTCGGGCGGAGCCGAACATTAAATACCCGGCGCAAGTATTAAATATATGTTTTTTCACCCTTCCGAAACCTTCCGCTAGATGGTAAGCCGAGGTGTATCAATTTTGAGTAAATTAGCGTCCTTCAATTTCGAAATATTGAAGTTTCAAGCATTTCTTAAATTTACCGTTATATGAGAATCGGCCGTTATTTTAGTCCGATTTCAATAATTTTCAACGTTTTGCTTACACGTGGCAAGTACAATAACCATACCGAGTTTGGTACAAATTGGTAGAACGGTTACCGATATACTTATATGTGATCATAAGTGGGCGGTGCCACGCCCATTTTCCAAAATTTTACCATAAACGTATTTCTTGGTAAAGAATTGTTGCAAGCATCAACTTTGAATAAATTAGCTTCAATATTTAATGATTTATCGAAGATTTTGTATTTCTCTAAATTACCGTTATATGGGATGTGGGCGTGGTTATTGTCCGATTTTAAAAATTTTCGGCGGTTTTTTATGCTGTACCAAGGCCAACAACTGTGCCAAGCTTGGAAGAAATTGGTGCAGCGGTTACCAATATATACGCATGTAACCATAAGTAGGCGTGGCTACGCCCATTTTCCAAAAATTTATAATATTCTTATTTTT